TCATCTTTTCACTGTTAACTGACTCATGCTCTGTTTTCCAGTTCTAAATTCCCAAGACCATAAGATTGAGGTGGGGTAGTATTTGTCAGGAGCTAGAAAAACTTGGTTCCAATCTCAGCTTTTCACATGGATTGTTGGCTTTTGGACTTGCTTCTCAGTGTCTTTGGATAATAGTTAATTTTCTCTAAAATGAAAGTAATTATCATTCTTATCTTGTGGGTTTGGTAAGAGGTGTTAAATGAGGTAATACATATAACAAGCTTATCACAGTGCCAGGCACAATACGTACTCAGAAATTGTTATGTTTTATTTTTATTGTTATTACCAGTACATCAGTTACCACAACTACTACCACCACATCTACATCTTTGGGTTACTGGGAGAATGGTGTGGGATTATGTATATGTGGCACTTAGTAGGTGCTTGATAGTTGGTAGTTATTAAAGTCAACACAAATGTTATTATAAAAGGTAGCTCATTACCCTTATCGACAATATTGTCTGTTTTACAGTGTTAAGTAGTGGACCTTCGTACACAGATTTGTAGTATTTTTCTTATTTGATCCACTATTATCATTGTCACAATAGTCAATAGTCTTTGAGTATTTCATGTGTGTTTAGCACTCCACGGTATCACCTTATTTCATTCTGACACCAACCATAAAGCAGGTACTACTATTATCTTTATTTTACAGTTGAGGAAGTTAAGGTAGAAAGAGGTCGAGATTAAGTTTAAACATAAAGAGTTCCTCCAGTGCTCATGCATTTAACCACTGTGCTATGCTGTCTTTGTGGTCTGCATTATGAGTTCATTGCCATGGATTGTTTATTAATTGTTGGCCCTGGGCAGGGAGGAGGGGAGAGCCTTGGCATGGCTAAGACAATAGGGGAAGAAAAATGGCTCTTAAACTCGGTCCAGAAGATGACGATAACTTATCTAAATTCTGAATCTTAATGATAGATGATTAACCCAGTATTGTACACAAGACTCTTGCCAAGTTTAAATTGGCTGTAAACTTTCCAATATCAATGTAAACCCTCCATCATTCTATTTTTTATATAATTCATTTGACAGCTCGGCCAAATGAACCCTTTTGTGCTTTTGGTGTGGTTTACTTTGTTCTGAAAGGAGAGAATGTGATGAGAAAGCCACAAAAGTTATTACCAAAAGTAATAAGAAGTAAAAGATAATTACAAATTTATATTAAGTCTCTCTGATCCGTATTTTATTAGTTGCTAGACTGTATAATTCAGAGGCAGAGTGATTATCAGGAGTGATTCTCACATTTTGAGACCTCAGTTTTTAACTCTGAGTCAGAAAAGCTCTTCATTCCTGAAAAAAATGTAAATGGTCATTTCAATGAATTGTTTCAGTAGTCAAATATGGGTTGTACAGATTCTGTGTGTCTTAATCAAGTGGCAGAACTGTGCTCTGATAAAATTTCATGGCATATTTGATCTTCCAACCATAAATTACTGCCATTTCCTTAGATGCTTTAGGAAAAGTCATTATGGGAACAAAATGGTCTCAAGTAAAATCTAGAACTTTCTACCCTGCCCCACGTTTCTGTAATTTCTTATTTAGTGGTGAAATCTACAAAATGCTTAAGCTTGCAGGGTCCCATAGACCTTTATTGATAAAGAAATCAAGGTGTAGAGATGTGTAGTGATTTTCTGGTCACACAGCCATAGTCTCATTCATTCATTCATTCATTCATTCATTCGTTCAGAAACATTCTTGTCTACCATATACCAGTACTTGTACTGTGACCTACAGATCAATATGGAACAAAACAGACCTGACCCTCAACTTCATGGGAATTGTTGACTAAGAGGGGAAACTGAAGGTAAACAAGTAATCATATGATGAACATATGGAATTTATATAGTAAGTACAGGACTGATGTATAATATCTACCTCAACTTAGAGGGTGAGGAAAGACATTTAAATGGAATTCTAGAGCTTCACTATTCCAATATGGCAGTCACATGTGGGTATTTATTTGGTTATTTTTTGAGATGGAGTCTTGCTGTGTTATCCATGCTGGAGTGCATTGGCATTATCTCAGCTTGCTGCAATCTCTGCCTCCCAGGTTCAAGCACTTCTCCTGCCTCAGCCTCCCGAGTAGCTGGGATTACAGGTGTGCATCACCATGCTCAGATAATTTATATATTTTTAGTAGAAATGGGGTTTCACCATGTTGGCCAGGCTAGTCTCAAACTCCTAACCTCAGGTGATTCTCCTGCCTCGGCCTCCCAAAGTGCTGGGATTACAGGTGTGAGCCACCACACCTGGCCTTTATTTGTTTAATTTTATTTTAAGCTCAGGGGTACATGTGCAGGTTTGTTATATAGGTAAAATCATGTCATTGGGTTTTGTTGCACAGATCATTTCATTACTGAGGTATTAGGCCGAGTACCTATTAGTAATTCGTCTGGATCCTCTCCTTCCTCACCCCCTTCACCCTCCAGTAGGCCCCAGTGTTGTTCCCAGCTGTATGTCCATGTGTTCTCATCAGTTAGTTCCCACTTATAAGTGGGAACATGTGGTATTTGGTGCCTGCATTAGTTTGCTAAGGATAATGGCCTTCAGCTTCATCCATATTCCTGCAAAGGATATCATCTTGGTTTTTTTTTATGGCTGCATGGTATTCCATGGCATGCATATACCACATTCTCTTTGTCTAGTCTTCCACTGATGGGCACTTAGGTTGATTCCATGTCTTTGCTATTGCGAATAGTACTTCAGTGAACATTTATGTGCATATGTCTTTGTGGTGGAATGATTTCTATCCCTGGTATATACCCAGAGATGGGATTGCTGACCTGAGTGGTAGTTATATTTTCAGGTTTTCAAGGAATCGCTATACTGCTGTCCACAATCGTTGAACAAATTTATGTTCCCACCAACCATGTATAAGCATTCTCCTTTCTGTGCAACCTCCCCAACATCTGCCATTTTTTGACTTTTTAGTAATAGCCATTGTGACTGGTGTGAGATGGTATCTCATTGTGGTTTTGATTTGCATTTCTCTAAAGATCAGGGATGTTGAGCTTTTTTTTTTTTCATATGTGCTTATTAGTGTTTGCTTTTATTAATGTGTAGTAAATTTTTAAATTCCAGTCCTTCATTACACTAGACACATTTCAAGTCCTCAGTAGCCACTGCTGGCTTCTGGCTGCTGTATTGGATGAGGCAGGTCTAGAGTATTTCCATCATTGCAGCAAGTTCTACTGGACAGCAGAACTCCGAAGAATGAAGGTGATTTAACTGTATGATGTAGGGGATGGTTAGGATGAGGGATTATTTCATGTGAAGTTCCTGTGGCAACAAGGGACGTGGCTCACGTGGGGACCCCAGGAAAGGCCACATGTGACTGATGGGCCAAGCACACTTGGAGAGAGGAGGGGAAGAGTCAGCTCTGCAAAGCCTTGGAGAGGTGGGACCAGGGCTTTCTTCTAAAAGAAGTGGGAACCGTGGCATGCCTCTGCCCAGGGGAAGAGCATGATAGTATTTGGTTTTTAAAACACACTCTTTGTTGACAATGAGAAGAACAAACTTCAGGCGGCAAGAGTGCAGGGCATGCTGTGATACCTGACAGTAGCTAAATAAATAAAGGGCAAATGTTGACTATGTAGCTTGAATGAATGGATGCTCTAAAGTGAATTATGTGTGCCCCAAACCAACCACATCTCTGTTTTAATCAACATTGTTATTTCATTATTATTAATTCAATGTACATCATGTGTCTACTATAATGAAAATACCCCCATAATGTTAGCATAGTAAATAATAATGTACTTGGTAGAGGTGGAACTTTACTTACTCATAAAGTTGGAGAACCAATGATTAAAGAGTGAGATATATTTTTTTTGTCGAGTGGCAGAAGCCTCTATTACTCCTTTGGAGGACTCCTTCTTGATATCTTGAAAAACAGTAGATTGAGTTCTTTCATTACACATGACAAGAGTTGAACCATGGTTCTGGAATGAGGGTTTTATGGAACACAGGGACTTCATTTTCACTGCAGCTTTGAGGTTTGTGGGGAGGTGTTAGAGAAATATTCATAAGAACATGGGGGCATTCTAAGAGGACATTGATAAAGATATTTGCCCTGTTGACCCCTTTACTTGCAGTTCAAAATTATTGAAACATCCGCCATAATGTTATGTGGCCTTGATCAAGACTGGGTGGCAGATAAGACAAAAGACCCCATTGATAAAATTCATATAAGAAAGAGGGAATTTGAAATGGTGACCTTGACCTAACTCAAACCTTAGTTACTGGAAAGGAGGGCTGTTTTGGGGATGTTATGTGGATGATACTGAAACTCTTTTTGACCCTTTGTCTTAAGAGAAAATAGCTCCATGTATCTGAGCAGAAAGAACAGATGAATGAGTTGAGTTTGAGGGCCTAGGCTATTAAGGTCTGTTCATGGCTATGGTAAGAATGACAAGAAAGGAGGCTGCTTGTCTGCATCCCGAGGAACTGCTGTGAAGCTCAACCACAATGGCAGTAGCAGAAGGAGAGCAGCAAGGTTCCATCAACAGCACTGGTTCTGGGGTAACAGTTGCCATAGCCTTGGGGTTTTGGCTGTCTCACTGCCTGGACTTTCCAGCTGTGGAAGCTTTTTCTACAACAAGCTTATGCACAGGATGGACCCTTCACACTGGATAAATCCTCCTAGAATTCCTGAACATACCATAGAGGAACCTCCAAAGGAGAGAGAGAGAAAGACTAGACTTTCTTCTCATCTAACTATGCGGGAGTTTGATATTAAATGACATACAGCCTTGGGATATATAAGTGATACATGTATTTGTAGAGCATGTTGCAATTTATAAGTTATTTGTACATTAAGTCTCTTGTACAACCACTCAGTGAAATCCATGTGAGAGATTCAGATTCAGCATTCCATGTGCCAAGCACTAAGCTTCTCCTGGTGATAGGGAGGAGATACAGATGTGATGAAGAAGGCTTCGAGAATGCTCTTGGGTTAGTCAAAAAGACCCAAGAGATAACTCAAACGTGGGGCAGAATGTGCTGAGGGCAGTAGAAGACGTGCTTGCAGTTGCTGTCAGCCATTGGAGGTGGAGAGATGAATTCTGGCTGAAGGAAACAAGAAAACCATAGTGAGGCCTGGTGTCGTGGCTTATGCCTGTAATCCCATATATTAATCTGTGCCTGTCATGTATTAACATCTGTGCTGACGCCGGGCATGGTGGCTCATGCTTGGTAATCTGAGCACTTTGGGAGGCCAGGGCAGGCAGATCACCTGAGGTCAGGAGTTCAAGACCAGCCTGGCCAACATGGCAAAGCCCCGTCTCTACTAAAAATACAAAAATTAGTCAGGCATGGTGGTGAGCTCCTGTAGTCTCAGCTACTCCAGAGACTGAGGCAGGAGAATCGCTTGAACCCAGGAGGTGGAGCTGAGACCATACCACTGCACTCCAGCCTGGGTGACAGAAAACCGCAGCACATTGAGTCCAGCCTAATGTGGCTCCTCTGAGCTAACACTTATGTCCCCAAAGCATGTTCTGGGATCTGAGTGAATAACACATCCGAGTTTGAATAATCTCCATTCCTGGAGTCAGTTCTCACCTGCTTGTCACAAAGATCTCCCCTTAAGAATGGGCTACATTTGCTGCCCAATTCCCCCATTGAATTCCTGATCTTGTATTGGAGTTGTGCCCTGTGATCCTTCTTCTATGACCTTAGCTTCCCTTGTTAAGGTCAAGTTTGCTTTCTAACTCCAGCAGGATTTTTCAGGCTTTCTTGGGCAGTAACTCCGGAGTGGCTCCTGGGATCTTTCATTCTCAGTTCTGAAGTCCATTTCCCAGGATAATTTCTCCTTCTTGCTTATTCGCCCCACCTACCTTTTCCTGCCACCACCTTGAGGGTGGAGGCTTGGACCATATTTAAGTTGGGACTTAAAAGACATTTACATTTTAGATAAGCAGAGATCTGACTTAGGACACTTACTATCATGCAGATTTATACTCGTGCATGACATTCTACAACACAACAGGCAGAAGAACCAAGAGATTCTTCCTTAAGTGATTTACAGTCTGGGGTGCCAGTTTTGAGTATCTATTAATTAATTCATCCATTCATTCCACAAAACATATTGATTTTTTCTTATGTACTAGGCACCATGCTGGGTATAGGAATTATATTTCTGAACAAGATTGTTACGATCATAGGTTCATGGAGTTTATAAACTATCAGAAAAGACAACATATTGATTAACGGTAATTGTGATAACTAACAAAAATATCAAACAGTGTGTCTGGGGGGTGAAGGCATGCTAGGACATTCTAGGTGAGGACTTGATGAGGGAATGGGATGTTCAGGCATCCCTGAGGAAATGTGGGAGAGAGCCAGGTGGGAACAAGGGTGGGGAGGAATCATTTCAGGCAGAGGGACCCATGTGCACAGGCCTGAGGTGGAAACAGTCAAGGCTAAATGTGAAGGGCCACCCTTGGCTTCTGTGGCTAAAACGAGGCAAGCAGTGAACAAAGAGGAGCCTGGACTGTGCTGGGGAGGAAGGTGAGGCAGATGTCACAGAACAGTAAGTACTTTGGGTTTGATGGAAATGGGAAACAAAGGAACCATTTTCATCAGGGGAATGATATGGTCATCTTTGAAATTTAAAAATCATTCTGGCATCAATGAGAGATTGGAAAAGAGGAGGGTCCCTGGATTCAGAGTGACATGTTAGAAAATGCATCAGGAGGTTGGGTGCAGGGGCTTAAGCCTATAATCCCAGCACTTTAGGAGGTCGAGGTGGGCAGATAAGGTCAGGAGTTTGAAACCAGCCTGGTCAACATAGTGAAACCTCATCTCTACTAAAAAGATACAGAAGATTAGCCAGAGGTGGTGGCACACCTCTGTAATCTCGGCTACTTGGGAGGCTGAGGCAGGAGAATTGCTTGAACCAGGGAGGCAGAGGTTGCAGTGAGCAAAGATTGGGCCATTGCACTCCAGCCTGGGCAACAGGGCAACTCTGTCTCAAAAAAGAAAAAAAAATGCATCAGGACCTCAGTGGGTGATGATGGTGGATAGATCAGAGTGATGATGGTGAAGATGCTATAAATGTGGAGGCTGTCAGGTTTCTAAAAGAAATGCTGGGAGGTCATTAGCGAAGAACTCCCACTTCTAGATAAGGCAAATCTTCTGTGTTTCTGCAAACTCCTCAAAATAGAATTATAGACTGTGTTGCAGTCTATATTATACTGATGCCTTGTTTATTGCCAAGAAAGTTACACTTGTAGAACTTTCTGACCAAAGAGAAATAAAGGAAAGGGAACTTCAAGCATTTGAGAGGAAGGGGATGTTCAAGGCAGTGACGCGAATATTGAAAACACAGGGAAAGGAATCAGGAGGGGAAACTAAAAGAGCAAGAAAGCTTTATGACACTTCTCTTTTCCATGTTTCATCTATCAAACAAGACCTCCTTACCCTAGGACCAAAGCAAAATGACTTCTGTAGATCCTTTTTATGAAGTCATTTCCAAACATTTCCTTTGGAAAAAACCTTGTAATGCAAATCTGCAGTCAAGAGGATGAGCATATGCTGGCTTTTTCCAGCACGTGTGTGTGTGTGTGCATGCATGTGTGCATGTGTATGCCTGTGTGTGTGTATGTGTGTACAAACACATGCATGCTCACACATATGCAGATCCAACAGTTTGCACAGAACTTGAGAATAACTTCTGTTATTTTTGTTTGTTTGTTTGGAATGACAGTGTTTCCATAGCAATGCGGACTGGTGTTTTTGAGAGGCTATTTTAATGGGGCTTTGGCAAGCCATGTACAATCATTACTTGCACATGAATCTGGCTTCTTTGGCACTAGCTTGTTATAAAGGAAATCCTAGGGACACTGGATTGGTGGACTTTGGGATAAGACCTTTAAGTTCCCTCTACATCATGCATCTGTGATGGAACACATCCTGCCTTCCTTTCAGTATTTGTAGCTTGGCTGCCTCTCTATTGCTGCCCAAGTGGACCACAGAACAACTGGAGGTACCAGTAGCATATATTTAATTTTTTGGTCAACTATGTGGCAACGAAATTTCTTGCTGGGCTTGTTATTGTTTACATTTTACTATTTAAAGTCTCTTCATGAAGGGCATTTGTTTCCAGCTCATTTGGTCCAAAGTCCCCATTTAGTTGTCTGATAAAGTCACTGAACCTTCACGGTCCTTTCATGTCACTACATCAAGTCAGACTAGCTTCTTTATTAATGCTTTCTTGGAAGCTTAATTAAGCCATGCTCTTGGTTAGAGCTGAGGATATTAAAGAGTGATTAGGCAAATACCATTTTATGCCAATTCACCTGACCAACATTCAGAAACTTCATTTGTCCCTGTATTTGTTCCTTGTTTTCTATTCAAAACAAAATACACCCCTATTGGGCTAGAGGGTTTGATTGCAACAACTCGAACTAACTCAAGTATAAAAAGGATGTATGGACTCCCTTTTGTCAAAGTCCAGATATGGAGGGGACTTCATGTATGAGTGGGCAAAACATTGTAAGAAAAATATCATCTTTATCTGTCTGTTTTTTAATCCATCCTTCTTTATCTTGGAATCATTCTCTAATACTCCTGACAAAGAAAATTCTTCCCATCTTTGTGGATTTATCTACCTGTGGTCTTTATAGTTGGTGACTTTTGGATGGGGTCTCTGAGTGGATGCCTTTTTGTTGATGATGAAGTTATTTCTGTTTTTTAGTTTTCCTTCTTACAGTCAGGCCACTCTGCTGTAGGACTGCTGGAGCTCCACTCCAGACCCTGCTTGCCTGGGGATCACCTGCAGAGACTGCAGAACAGTAAGGGTTGCTGCCAGTTTCTTCTTCTGTTATTTTTGTCCCAGAAGGGTACCCACCAGATGTCAGCCTGAGCTGTCCTTTATGAGGTGTCTCTTTGGATATATAGGGGTCAGGGAGCTGCTTGAGGGACAGTCTGTCCCTTATCAGAGCTCAAGTGCTGAGCTGTGAGCTCTCTTGTTCCATTCAGAGCTGCTGGGCAGGTATGTTTTAAGTCTGCTATAGTGGAACTCATAACTGCCTTTTTTTCCCAGGTGCTCTGTCCTGGGAAGGTGGGGCTCTATATTTAAGTTCCTGATGTGCTGCTGCCTTTTTTCAGAGATGCCCTGCCCAGCGAGGAGGTAGCCTAGTCACGGTCTGCCAGCAGAGGCATTGCTGAGCTGTTGAGGCTTTGCCCAACTGCTGAGTGAACTTCCTTGTGGTTTTGCTTATAGAGGTATAGTTAGAACTGCCTAGGTAATAGTGATCCACCTCAGTAATGGTGGATTGCCTTGGTAATGGTGGATTGTCTCGGTAATGGCAGACTGCCTTGGTAATGGTGGAATGCCTTGGTAATGGCGGACGCCCTTCCACCCACAGAGCTGGACTGTCCCGGGTCCAGCTGTGCTTGCTGTGAAACTCTCAATCCAGAGCGTTTCAGATTGCTGGTTTTTGTGGGAGTGGGACCCACTGAACCAGATCACCTGGCTCCCTGTTTCAACCCCCTTTTTTTTAGTTGAATGGGTGACTGTGTCTCCCAGGTATTCCAGGCACCAGTTGAAACAGCACCCAGATTTGTGTGACTTTTTATGCAGAGACCTGTTGTGCTGGCTGAAACAGCTATGCTGGAGACTCATGGCACTTTTCTGCCCAGGAATCTCCTGGCCTGTGGGCAGTAAAAATTCATTTGGAAATGCGGTGATCACTCATCCTCTGCATGTTTGCTGGGAACTGCACTCCAGAGCTGTTCCTATTCGGCCATCTTGGATTGTCTGTCAGGAGAAGCTTTTCAATGGAAAGGCATGTGGTTGCATGCAGAAACAAGATGTCCATTTTACTAAGAAACCTCGATTTTATCCAAGGAGTTATCCCCATCTTCAAAACGAAAAGACTTCTAAACCAGGATGAGCATTAAAATTACCAAAGAATGTTAAAATACAGATCCCAAGAACTCCTCCTTGGAATATTTAATTCAGTTGGTCTGGGCTTATAACTTTTTAAATGCTCCCTTGGTTGTCCTAATAAAGAATCTACTTTGGGAACCACTGGTGGTAGTAGGATGTACTAGTAAAAGAGGTATAAGAACATTATAGATTCTTAAAGGCTAAATTGACTTAGTGTGCTTTCATTATGCAATATTTAGTTACAATGTAATTCTACAGAAACCATAGTTATTTATGGTAGATATTGTCAGATTCTTCCTATGTTAATGGGGAGGTAGAAAGGGAATCAGTCTTGAGAATAAAAACAAACAAACAAACAAAAAACAGAGCCCTGTCTGAAGAGAGGTACTGCAGAAGTAAAAATAAAGACATGCAGTGAAAATGTACATTAATTTTTGGCCACCAGCATCAGAATCCCTTTCTATGTTTGGGGAATTATGCATCTTATGAGTCTTGGTGAGAGGAAGTCTTGGCTTCCACTTGATAAGCCGGAAATGTCAGGAACACACTTTTCAAACCCAGTCTTGCAGCTGTCACTTAGATATAGGCCTCACTGATGGCATGCACCATCCTAAGACTTTGATATGTGAGATTGTGACATGAAGCAAGGCCTGTGGTTAGGAGAAAGCAAGGCATCATATATTGAAGAAGGAAAACCAGGAGATGATTTGGGTGCTTCCCTGAGACAGAGGCACTATCTGAGGCTGGAGATTTGGCATGATTCCAAACATTTTGATTGGCTTCTCCTGACAGATAATCCAAGATGGCTGAATTGATCATGTGGGTTTGATCATGGGCAGTTGTAGTAGTTTGCTATTAACATATGGTATTTTCCACTCAGATCATCCTAGTCTCCAACAATTTTCTGTTAAAGCTTTAAGGTATGTGATGTAATTTGACTGTGTCCCCACCCAAATCTCATCTTGAATTGTCATTCTCATAATCTCCACAGGTTGTGGGGGGGGGTCTCGTAGGAGGTAATTGCATTGTGTGGGCAGGTCTTTCCCATGCTGTTCTCATGACAGTGAATAGGTTTCACGGGATCTGATGGTTTTATAAAGGGCAGTTTCCCTGGACATGCTTTCTTGCCTGCCACCATGTAAGACGTGCCTTTGCTCCTCTTTTGCCTTCTGCCATGATTGTGAGGCCTCCCAAGCTATGAGGAACTGAGTCCATTAAACCTCTTTTTCTTTATAAATTACCCAGTCTTGTGTATGTATGCAAATGGAGTAATACAGCATTTGAGTTATTGTAAAATGTGGAGCTCAGGTCAGGCATGGTGGCTTATGCCTGTAATCCCAGCACTTTGAGAGGTCAAGGCAGATGGATCAGTTGAGGTCAGGAGTTTGAGACCAGCCTGGTCAACAACATAGTGAAATCCTGTCTCTACTAAAAATACAAAAAATAGCCAGGCATGGTAGTGCCCAGCCATTAGAGGTTGCAGTGAGCTGTGATTGTCACTGCACTCCAGCCTGGATGACAGAGTGAGATTCTGTATCCAAAAAAAAAAAAAAAAAAAAGCTTAAATGAGACCTAGAAAAGTTACTACAGAAAAATATCTCTGTTATAGGTCTCCTAAAATGCTCTTTAAAAGTAACATCAAGCCCTAAAAAGGTGGCAAACTGGCATTCCTAGAGCCATCTCTAGCCCAAAGGCATGTTTAAGATAGCCCACAAACACTTTTGAATTAGTTGCTAACATCTAAAAGTTGGCAAACAATCTGAATTTACCTTCCTGTTGAAAAGTCAAGTGTCTAGCATTACTGGATTCACACTGTTCAAGGTTTAACAGCAGCTGCCTGCTGGAGGTGAGGCAGAGATGCTTCCTCCATCTTTTCATGGTTGTATTCTACTAGTATCTCCTGTTTGGCCTCATCATCCATTTGAACTCTTATTTGGAAGCAGCAAAAGTCAACTGACACATTTCGGTAGAAAGGGAATTTATTTAAGTGTATTCGGTTGTTTAAAAGTATCTTAGAGGA